GATTCTGCCACAGCACAGGTGAATTTTTTAAAGGCCACCTGGCTTCCTTTAATCTGATTCCATCCTCACCAAGCAGCCATTAGATCACTTACTTGGGGTCGGGGTTACCGTGACACGGGGAGAGAGCTTCCTAAATAACTAGCCTTGCTTTTAGAGCCCAACAGGCGGAGTGCATATTTCAGCTTACAGTTGCCGTCCCTGTCTTGGCAACCTCAGGATGGGAAGAGATGCACACGGGACAGAAGGAAGGAGGGAGACCCGCCTCTTTCCCCTATTTTGATCCCTGGAAAGGTCTATCCCTAATTGAAATGAAATGCTTGGAGCCCGTGAAGGTGGTATCGTAATTTTTTCTAAGCCCAAATCAGTTGCTTAGTATCTGATCGTCCCCGAGTGAACTGAAAGAACTGAGTTTCCAAAACTAAAAAGTTTCCAAGCAGGACTCCAATGACCCCAGCAGGACCTCCCTGGACTCCTGTTGGCATTCTTGGCTGTCTTTTTAGCTGCAACATGAGTTATTGGGAAGGCTCTTTCAGAAGAAAGAAGTGTAAGGCGTTTCCAGAGACTTGGAACAGACTCTGAGACACACAGCCTCCTCTTCGCCACCCACTCCTCTCCAGAAATCTGAAGACGGGGTAGCTGGTCAGATGCTTGGCAAATCTTCAATCAGCTCCTCAGATGGACGGTTTCAAGTGGCTGTTCTGGGCTTCTACACGCAGAGAAATACAATGGATAATTGGAATCAATAGCCCTAATAATAAAAAGTTTCCAAATCGCATTTTTCATTTTTCCTTCTTTAGAGAGCACGAAATAAATGTGGTAGGATTTCATTGAAACATCATCTTATTTTCCACAGCCAAGTGATATACGGGAGAACTCCTTATAAAGCATTAGACCAGCTCTGCTGTTTATTTCCATCACAAACTGGGTCGCTTTTTATGAGAATCTGTGTTTATAGAAGGTGAAGAGAGAACCAAGTGGGAAAAGAGGAGAATTTTTCTCAAAAATTTCTACGATTTACTGAGCTAATCCTGACAAGAACCTCACAGGCTCTGGGTCCTTATTCCCATGTTGAAGTTAAGAACATGGTGGGATGAGGTTTAGAAAGTGCACAACTAGCCTAAAGTCCCACAACCAGAGGACGGGAGAGCCTTCTTCCTTCTCCTCCATCCTCCTCCTCTCTCCTTTCCTCTCTTCCTCCTTTTTATTTTTGACAGCTTTATTGTGGTATAAATTACATTACATAACAGTTATCCATTGTAAGTGCACAATACAACGATTTTAGTAAATGTATTAGTTTATGCAACCATCACCACAATGCATTTTACACCATTTTCATCCCTCCAACAAGTTCTCTCACATCCATGTGTGTGGTCAGCCCTCAGTCCTAGCCCCAGCCTGGGCAATCCCTGATTTGCTCTCTTTTCTGAAAGTTTGCCCTTTCTGGACATTTCATATAAATGGAACCACACAGTATTTAGTCTTCTGATTTGGCTTCTTTCAACCTGTGTCAACACTTTGCTCCATTTTACTGCTTAACAGTATTCCATTGTGTGGACTGACCACATACTGTACATCAGTTCACCCACCGATGGACATTTGGGCTGTTTCCAGTTTTTGGTTATTAGGTATAATGCACATACAAGCACGTGTATTTTCATTTCTCTTGGATATATACGGAGGCGTAGAATTGCTGGGTCATATGGTAACTTTAACTTCTTGAGGACTTTTGAGAAGAGTTTTCCAAAGTGGCTGCACCATTTTATGTTCCCACCTGTAACGCATGAGGGTTCCAATTTGTCCACATCCTCATCAACACCGTCCGTCTTTCTGGTTGGAGCCATTTTAGTGGGTGTCAAGTGGTACTGCACTATGGTTTTGATTTGCATTTCCCTAACAACTAATGATGTTGAGCATCTTTTCATGTGCTTATTGGCCATTCATATATATGCTTTGAAAAAAATGTTCAATTCTTTACCCATCTTTTAATTGGGTTGTTTGTCTTATTATTGACTTGTAAGAGATCTTAATATGTTCTAGATACAAGTACGAAATGTTTTATCAGATGTTCGATTTGTGAATATTTTCTCCCAGTCTGTGGTTTGTCTTTTCATTTTCTTAAATGGTATCTTTTGAAGCACAAAAGTTTTTAATTTGATGCAATTCAATTTATCATCTTTTTCTTTTACAGATCACGTTTTTGGTGTCATATCTAAGAACTCTGCCTAACACAAGGTCATGAAAATTTTCTCTATGTTTCCTTCAGAAGTTTTATCATTTTCGCTCTTATATGTAGGTCTATGATTCATTTAAAATTTATGTATGGTGTGAGGTAAGGGTTCAAATTCATCTTTCTAATATGGACAACCAGTTTCTTTACTTGCTATGTGTTTTTTCCGATTTTTTATTTCTTCCTGAGTCGTTCTTTTTGGTAATTGTGGCTTTCTAAGAATTTGTTCATTTGTCTAAGTGGTCTAATTTGTAGCATAAAGTTAAAATCCTATGGTGATGCCCCCGCTTTCATTCCTGATTTCGGTAATTCACATCTTCTCTCTTTTTCTCTGTCTTTTTTTGGAGTGGAAGGTCAGGGGAGTAGAGTCACAGGTTTGTCAATTTTGTTGACCTTCTCTAAGGACTAACTTTTGGGCTCACTCATATTCTCTGTTGTTTTCCGTATTCTGTTTCATTGATTTCCACTGTCATCTTTAAGACTTCCTTACTCCTACTTGCTTTGAGTTCAGTTTGCTCTTCTTTGTCCAGTTTCTTAAGGTGAAAGTTTCAGTTTCTGGTTTTTTCCATGCTCCACTCCAAATCAAGTCAGCCCCTCAGACAGAGATGCTGCTGGTTTTCAGGGCTTGTCCTGTCCAGGTAGAACTTCCTCACCTCTGAACGCAGGTTAGCGATTAGAGCAGCCCCAGGACAGAATGCCACAGACTCCCACTGTTCTTACCCAGAGTTCGTCAGTTTTTCATAAATAACCACTCCTCAAATTCCAGAGTCATGAAATGATTGTTTCTGACTATTTTGTCTAGGCTCATCATTGCCTTTCAGGGAAGGATGTGCCAGGCTACTCATTTCTGCCATGCCAAAGCCCTGTCTCTACAGTCCCTTTTCTCTCCTTCACGGGAAATAAAATTTGGTTTTATCCTTTACCCCATCTAGTTCTCTCACAGAATCTGTGTCTCTGGGGGGCGGAGACATGGGGGCAGAGCTGGTTTTTAAAAATTGCTTATGTTGAAAAATACTGCTCTGAGATTATCAACTTTAAGAAAAAAAAAACTAAACAAAACAACAAAAAAATTGCACTTCAGTGAATCATTCAACTTCCTCAATGTTAACGATGGAAAGTCTGTGCCTCTTAGAATCTGCATTCATCATAGAGAATTCCAATGGCACTCTTTATTATCCACTTTGTAAGGAAGGCAAACCCCCCCCCAGTTCCTGACCTTGCTGATTCTGCAGATGCTCCTAGCACTAACAGGGAGGTGGGAGGGAAAACAGGATCACAGCAGGAAAATGCTTAACGGCCAGTGTGGGGAGCTGGGCTGTCTGCACACTGCTTGAGTAGGAGTTTCGAGCTTGTGCCAGTTTGACATGGGCATAGACTACGCAGTTTCTAGAGGCCCCGTTCTATTCCTTGAAGGAAACTGGGCCTTCAAGAGCAAGAACATCCCTAAAGAACAACGGATGAGACCCAGGAGACCTGGGTTGAAGGCTCTGGCTCTGCCACTTTCTCCCATTTAACCACTCTGGGGCTTCGTTTTCTTATTTGTAAAATGGGTGTCATAATAAAGTCTTCCTCACAAACTTGCTGGGATGTGATCAAATTCAATGACCGTCATGGATGGCCTTTACAGATTATTAACAAGCTATAAATGTAGGCTTTAGATTATGAAATAATACCCTGTGTTCAAATCTCAATAGGTGGTGTCAAAGAAAGAGATTGTCTCCCCACTTCCCTACCTCAGGACACAAGGAGGCTGCAGCCCAGCAGACAACTCACATACACTCCCATAATCAACTCCTTTACTGCTTCCCTCCCAGGTGACAGGGATGAAGGATGGAAGCAGATGCTCAGAGAAGGACATGTCTGTGCTTCAGCACTTGGGGAGGTGGACCAGAGCAGATGGTACCTATCAAGACCCACACTTGTACCTCTTTATACTGTGGAAAGTGGGGGTCTTTCATCTGAGTGGGCTGTGAACGGAAGCCCACTGGGAGAGAACTAATTCTGTCAAATGATTTTTCATGCCTAAACTTTATGTTCACACTGAGTCATCACAGCCCCCTGCCACGCTTGTCAAATTATCACTGTACCACAGCAAAGCTGCACATTCACAAAGGCAAACTTTTAAAAGGAAGCTCTCTTTTTAATTAAAAAAAGGACTTTAAGGGTTCTTTGTATGAGGGATCAGGATTGGTTTTAATATCTTTAAAATGGATTGCTGGAAATTTTTAATCCTAGGATTTCCAATATCTAAGGAAAAATAAAGCCATTCATCTCAATATATACCAGAAATATACATCTTTGTTATGCCTTAATAAAGGAAATGCTGGATCCTAGGCTGGATAAATAGGACAGCAGTCTAAGATGTAACGTTTCCAGGTTTACATCATGGAAACCAGAGTTCAGCTATGATGATAATAAAAGGGAATGAAGAGCAGCCACCAGGAACTACAGCTTTCACAACAGAGGCTCCTTCTCAGAGGGGACTCGGACGCTCGGGTTTCAAAGAGCTCGGTGGCAGCGGGCTGCCTGACGGCACCGCCAGCTTGCCTCCAGTGCACCGGTCCCTCAGCCTTACCTCCGACCACTTTCCATCCCACCTCCTACTCAGGTCATCCTCAGGGCAAGTGAATGAAAACTTCGGGACTCCTCCCCGGGGACTTGGCACTGTCCAGCGCCCAGCCCCTCCTGCACGGGCTCCTCGTTTGTCCTCCCGCACTGGGGCTGAGCACAGGTGGAAAGTGACCAGAGGCTAAGGGCGGACCTTCAGGGTTACCTATTTGCCTTTCCAGGTCGGCGGCTTCATCAGGTGTGGCTCGCGGAAGGACGCCAGGGTCGCTGAAGCTGGTGCGCAGCAGGGTCCCCATCACAAAGAAGAACAGAATGCCACCGACCACGGGGATAGCAGGGGTGATTTTCACTGCTAGATACGGACAGCTGCCAGCAGGTTGGGAAGGCGGGGGGGAGGGGAGAAAGAAAGGAAATACAATGTCAGTAATCAACAGTGATCACTCTGTATTTTCCAAGAAACTAACGGCTTTTTTGGAGAAGCAAAATTGATTTCCATTAAAAATTCATCTATGTTTTAAGCATTTACATTTGGGGAGGTCTGCAATTCTCTCTTGTGGACAATTTAACCCCCCTTCTCAGCTACAATAATCCTCTGCTCCCACCGTGGTACTCAGGAAAGACACTGGCAGAAAAATTAAAATAACCCTGCTTGTACAATCCATGTAAGATGCACAGAGCTTGCACCCTTTGTCCTGTAAACAGAGCACATGATTTATGGGACTCTCCACCCATCTCTGGAATTGCATAACATAGGACGACACCAGCTTGGAACTGTCTTCATCATACCCGGCCTTTCCTCCCTGGGTCAGACAACTCAGGGCACGGAACGCAGAGAACCACAAGCCACCCTCAAAAGGCAAGAAATCACTTTTTCAATAGTTTGGAGCTAATCTATGCAAAAGAGGTTAATGAGCTATGGAAATGTACTTGCAGGCCGTTTCCGAAGAGGATTAAAAGGATTTAGGCAGCTGGAATATAATAGTCTCATGCTCTTCAAGAAGGCATCTGAGCTACCAACGGATGAACACGGCGCATCTTGATTCTACGAAACCCCTTCACTGTCCTGCAGTGAATGAACTGACACGCAGCAGGGGCTGTGATGAGTCAGGGAGAGATGCCCTTGGGACAGACTGACATCTATGCCAGCTGGCTCCAGGGATCCAGGAACCAGGCTTAAGCACCACCCTGGTCCACTGTCATTGCTCCCTGACTCTGCAGAGGCGGTGAGAGGCAGAGTGAAAAGTAGCTTGGTGCCTGGAGCTGGGTGAAGGATGGCCCTGCAATGACTATGGTCAGTGTATTGTCATCACATTCAGTAACCTCATGGGCTTTGAGAAACACCACACAGAATCATGGAATTGTCACATCCAGAGTGGAAAGCACCTCCCAGATGGTCTGCCTCACCAGGGGATACTCTTCCAGATACTCAAGACCACACAAAGAGAGGGAGCTGGAGAAGAAAGGGTTGGAAAGCTTTGCTCAAGAGGTGAGCCAGGGGGCTCATTCCTGGGGTGTTGGGGACAGCACCCCACTCCTGTGCAGTACTTGCAGAGAGGTGGCAAGGTCTCTGATGGGATGGCAAGGGGATGCTGGCAAGCATCCAGGCCTCGGGGACCACAGGCCATGGTCCCCTTTGCTGAGACCAACATCAGGCAAGTTAGAGCATCTAGTTTTCCAGCGGCTGGTGACTCAGGTCTATGTGGAGTGGTTACTGTGAACTAAAGACCAAGGGCCTGTCCTGAATCCCCTGCTCTGCAGAAACCAGAGACTTTCCAGCCACTTTAAGAAGATGGAAGAGCAACCCCAAACATGACTAGGTAAGATTGCCCACCAGACAAGTGGACTGCGGTCTCCAAGAGAATCACCTGATTTAGAGACACAAAATATGTGACATTTCTAACTTGTCTCATCTTTCCCACACCAGCTCCCCTGCAGAAACAGAACAGAATGAACGACAGAAAGTATCAGATCACACTTGGGCTGGATTGCCTGTTGTGACTTCTCTTCACAGGATTCATGGGAGACCATAAAAAACTATTAGTTGTCTGTCCTGCATCAACGTCCCCGCCCAAACTCCCAGGCACTTAGAGCCTTTTTGAACATCGTCAGAGATTCTCATAGAAAAGAGAATTCGGCAACGAGGACAAGAAGATATACAGGGATTGCTGTGGAAAAAAGGAATACAAGAGTGTCTAAGCTGAAGAAATACCCTTTGTGAAAGCATTCACTTTAACTATGGAACGGACTTTTTTAATCCAATGGATTTTGTTGCGTAAAAAAGAGTCACTGCTTTTCCTAGAGTGTTTTCAGACAAACACTAACATAACTAAACTCTTCAGTGGTTTCCAGTTTTCTTAAAAATTTGATTTTATAATTTTAGGTACTGAAAAGCTTCAAATGAAACACTTTCCTGCAACAGAGATCCACTAGTTCTGAAAATTAGAAAGAAACCATTTAAAAGATGGTGCTGCTTGGGGTGCCTCCTGTTTTCGTTTTTGCTTTGCCTTTGGGAGCCCTTCTTTTATTGGGAAATAAATACAGAGTCAAAGAGGTGGGCCAGCCCTACAGCCTAACACAGAACTTGCATTTCAACTTGACACATGTAGAGAATAAAAGTCTTGTCAGGAAATCACCATCTTCCCTTTAAAGATTCAGTATAAAGTGACAATCAAAATCCCATTTAATACTGCCCTGAAATGTTCACATGGCTGCATCCCAGCTCTAGGGTACAGTGCAGTGCCAGGGGCTACAAAAACAGATACCTTTCCAAGGCGTGTCTATTACGTTAAATGGAGCATGTTTGGACTGTGACGTGGAGCTTTTATGAAGAGCTGGAGATAAATATCAGTTGCTGCAAGTCTATTGATTAAATCTCTGACTGTGATATCAATCAAGTTAATATCAAGGAACTCAAACTCCAAAGAACATTAGAAAGTATTTGTGTCATAAAATATGACTGACATTATCTTTGTTACTCTTATTGTCATATAAAAAGCAACCTGAAGTTGTATGAAGCCTTGAAAATGTGCTAGGGTACCACAATCAGAAATAAACACAGTCCATATTAAAATTGAACCTGATACTAATAAACTTCAATTTATATAGATTAGCCTTAAAATTTTGTTTTAGTCCAAAAGAATCTACTCTAGGTGGGCCTCTTTTTTTTTTTTTTTTTTAACAAAATGGTTAGGAAAATGATCAATTGTGTAGAGGAGAATTTTTCCAGAACTGAAATTCATAATTCAACAGAAGAATGCCTGTTTGAACAAAGGCAGAGAATACAACAGGCCAACTGTTTCCTCTTTCTCATTATTAATGAGTTTCAATAAGAAACAACTGGAACAGTTGTTAGGCAGCTGCACCCAGGTCACAGCTGGACAATATTACCTGGAGGGACCAGCCAGTAGGATGTGATCCACCTTGGGTGTTTAGGGGTGGAATTTATTTAGCTCCATTTGGCTTCTCCAGAGATGGATTCTTCAGTGCTGTTGGAACCCTCCTGTGGAGTTGATTTAGTAGATCTTAGGTTATGGTGTATTTGTTTTTCCCTTTTGGTTCTGAAATGTAACTTGGTTGACCTCAAGAGTTTGCCTGCTCACAGCAAGATGTCGTTAATGAGTAAGCCATGTCCTAAACGGTTTCTTGTTGTCCCAAGTGCACTGTATGTAAAGCTACCCACTGCTCCAGGCTGATGGCTCTGGAGGACTCCCACCGCTTCCACCCGCCTCTCCCCACCTCCCGCCGAGGATGTCTGCTGCCCTTGCCAATATCTGATATTCAGGATTAGAGATCAACGTCTTTAACTTTTCTGTCCCCTGGCACATTCTCATGGAGGAGACAAGACCCTGTGATTTAAGTTGTTTGCACTTGAGTGTCAATTCATTTATTCAGCCCTGGTCCGGGAAAGGAGGAAGACGAAGAATCTAGTTGATGGGTAAATGCCTACCACTCTGTGAAAAACTCAGACGGATCCTGACTTTTCTGGTCATGAGATGAAGGTAACAGAAAGTCCTTCAGTCACTTTAAGTGACAGACAGTCTCATTAACCATTTCAAAGTGTAACAATCCTAATTACCAGTGGAAATTTCTAACTTGGTTTTGTGTTAAACCTCCTCCCCCTCCCCAGCTGGCCAAGTGCCGTTTCTGGCCCCTCTGTGGCTGGAGAAGAAAGGACATGGGGGTAGGAAGGGGGCCGGGATTTGGAAGGCGCTGATTTGGAAGCTCTGTTACAAGGCGGCTTTGTGTTCTCTGGGTCTACCAGATGTATAAACCTGTCCCACTGGAGTCTAAGTCCTTCAGAAGCCCCCTGGAAGCCAAAGGGCGCTGCCCCGGGGGTACCCTTCTCCTCTCTCCCTCTTCTTGGGTAGAGAGGAGACAGCCTTCCTCCCGCCCTAAGGCCCATCCTTCTACCGCACTGTGGCCCCATTCCCCACCTCTCATGAACCTCAGGGGTACTGCCCTGAATTCCTCAGCTCCCTGCTTCTTGCCTGGGGGACAGCAGAACATCCATCTCAGCCCTCTGCCTGCCCCACTTCAGGTTACCCCAAACACACCGACACATCTCTGTTCCAAAGCCTGCAATGACTCCCCTTCTCCTGCCAAATCAACTTCAAGCTCCTTCTCTGGCGCCCATACCCCATGGTGCCTAGTCTCCGGTCTCCCCTTCTCATGTCCTGCTCTACCCCCCTTTTCACACATACGGGGACAGCAACCCTGACCCCTGGCCTTCCCAGAAAGGCGCCTGCCACCCAGCCTTGGTGTCTGGAACACCCTCACCCCTAACTCAGCTTGTTAAAGCTGCCCCAACTTTCAAGTTCGCATAAGGACTTGGTGAAAAGATTTTCTGGGCTCTACCCCCGAGCTAAAGTGCTGGCTTCTTTTCCTAAAGCTCCGTAATATTTTTGTTTGCTTCTCTTGATGGTACTTGTGGCTGTTTGTGGACATGCCTCATGAAACTCACTGGACTGGAAGTCCTGGAGGGTGAGACTGGGCCCTGGTCAGCATGTGTCCTTCACAGCGCCGGGCACAATGCCTCGCACAGGGTAGCTATTTGACAAGTACTTGTTGAGCAACTGAATGAATGAGACCTATTCACTGAATTTTACAGTAACACAGAAAAGAGCAGGAAAGTCAAATCAGCCATATTCTCAACATTGACCATGTACCCCGAGTCTAGAACTTGCTCCTCTAACTTCTAAGCTTGCTGGGTCTTGTAACGTCCTTCAAACAGGTGCTAAGGATCTGCCCCGTTCAGGATGCTTCCGCCACCGAGAAAAGGTGGGATTGCAAACACTGAGTTTAATGTGTGCCACACACTCTAAAGTTCTAGCAGATGAAGCACCGTGTGTTGGTACAACTTTGCGCAA